CGCGCTTGACAGGCTGTCAAGCGTCTTCTCTATTATGCGGATCCTCTACTCTACGCTTTGCTAGTCTACATCATGTATATAAGCTACGGCTTCTTTTCCCTCGATCATCATCCTTCCCTGCTTCTCAGCTTCTCTCTCTCGTGTGAACTCTAACAGGTTATGAGCCCTGCTTAGCTCTAACTGAGAATTACTACGCTTACCGCTGCTATATCTTATCTTATCGGTCACAACACATGGCGACGTCAACCGCTGACGCCATCAGCAGGATCCGGATCGATCCTCTCACCGGGGTAGAGGATTGGCCCTCTTGGAGAGTCCAGATGGAGGATCTGCTGTACGGGTTAGGGTTATGGGACTACGTCATCGAAGAAGGCAAGCCGACGGCAAAGGACGCCAAGGCACCGACCACAGAAGAAAAGAAGGCTCTAGAAGACTGGATGAAGAAGGACAGGACCACGTTAATCGCGATCCGGATGCGAGTAAGCAAATCTCTTGTTCACACGCTGACAAGATGTGTTTCTAGCGCGGACACGTGGAACCGCCTCGTCAAGAACTACGAGCCCAAGGGAATCTTGCACGTCGTGCAGATTCGCCGTAAGCTTTTGCAAGCTCGCTATTCGGACTCGGAAAACGTCGAAGAATTTCTACAAGAAATGGTGCGCCTGCGCGAGACGCTGGCGACCATGGGACATGCCCTGATGGAAGAAGAGTTCGCGATCACGCTTCTCACGGCGCTACTGGACAGCTGGGACCCAATGGTCAGCTCGATCAATCACGCAACGGATCTCAAGGATGCCGATGAGATCATCGCGCGGATCAGGCAACATGCAAGCCGCATCAACGACTCGGAGGTCGCGATGGCGGCGCGCGCAAAGAAGGGCAGAGGACCCCCTTTGTGCTATACGTGCGGTAAGCCTGGTCTGGCGCGCGACTGCCCTAACCACGACGCAAAGGACGTGAAGGGGAAGAAGAAGGGCAAGGGCGACAAGGACGACGGGAAGAGCGACAAGCGCAAGCCCAAGAAGGACGGGCTGAAGGCGCTGGCTGCCAAAGAAGATGGTAGCGACAGCGACTCCGATGAGTACGCATACGCGCTGATTGAACAGGTCGACAGCGATTTGGATGAGGACTCCGAAGAGCTTGCACTGGCGGCGCGGGTAGCTCGGGATGCTTGGGTAAGCGATTCCGCTACTACGGTGCACATAGCACACGCGCGCGCCGATTTCTTCAGGTACACGCCGACGCCCGGCGACAGTTTGAAAGGCGCGGGCGTCACGCCCATCCTCGGGCGCGGAGATGTTAAGATCGAATACGAGTACGACGGGCGCAAGACAGTTGTCAAGCTGTGGAACGTAGTGCACGCCCCCGGAATCCCTCACAACCTCATCGCCTTGGGGCGCGTTGAGGCAGGCGGACACTCGGTCACCTTACAAGACGGCAAGATAGTCTTCAAGAACTCGAAGGGACGAGCTTACGCGGAAGGCACACGGGTGGACAACCTGTACGTGATGCGCGCCACCACCGTACACGACAAGACACCGGATCTCGCGTGTGCGGCAGCGGTTACACGACCCCGCCGGAAGCGGACGTATGACGAGTGGCACCGCACCCTCGGTCATATCGGTATGAAGGCTGTCATCGCCATGAAGACAAAGCGCCTTGTGGAAGGCATGGAGGTGGACGAACGCGTCCCTCCCGCAGAGCAGTGCGAGGCCTGCGTCCGCGCCAAGCAGACCGTCGCGCCATACCCGAAGAAGTCGGCCACGGTCGTGGCCGTGATCGGTGACCTGACAGTCATGGACCTGTGGGGGAAGGCCCCTACGACAGGGATCCGCGGTGAGAAGTTCTTCTCGACTTTCACTGACATGCACGCGCGTCGTACAGTTGTAGAATTCTCCAAGACGAAGACAGATGAGTTGGAACACTTCAAGGCGTACCAAGCACTCGTCAAGAACACCCACGGAGTCACCCTCAAGGCCGTCCGTTTTGACAACGGAGGCGAATATATCAGTAAGGATTTCATTGCCTACTTGAAAGCTGAAGGCATTACAGTACACACTATGACGCCCAAGTCCTCCGCACAAAACGGTGTTGCGGAGCGCGTCAATCGCACCGTGATGGACCGCGCGCTGGCGCTCCTCATCGCGGCAGGTCTCCCCAAGTTTCTCTGGCCCGAAGCCGTGGCCCACGTCACGTACCTCAAGAACAGATCCCCGACTCGCGCACTCAAGGACAAGACTCCTGAAGAAGTCTGGACCGGCCGCAAGCCCGACATCTCGGACTTGCAGGAGTGGGGCATCCGCTGCTGGGTACTAACTGACAGACAGAAACGAACCAAGCTGGACCCGAAGTCCCAGCCCATGTTTTACATGGGCCCAGCACCCGGCACGAAAGGCTGGCGGTACTACGATCCCAAGAGTCGCCGAATCGGCAAATCTCGCAACATCATCTTTGCGGTCCCCAAGAGTCAACCACCCGCGGGCGATGATGACGACGAGTACGTCGAGCTCTCCCTCCCTGCGCCGCTCGAGGGGGAGAATGGGATCATAGGCGACCTGGCGCAAGGGGGAGACACGACCGTCTCTCCCGCGAACATACCAGACGCACCACCCCCGGTTATGACTCAGAAGGCACCGCGACTGAAAACTGTCATTCCACCA